TTCCCAGCCCCAAGTCCATGAAATTCTTTTTTTTTTTTTGGGTCCAGTAGTGGGCCTGAACTCTGGGCCTGGGCGCTGTCCCTCAGCTCTTCAGCTCAAGGCTAGTGCTCTACCACTTGAGCTACAGCGCCACTTCTGGCTTTTTTCTAATGTGGTGCTGAGGAATCGAACCCAGGGCTTCAGGCATGCAAGGCAGGCGCTCTACCACTGAGCCAACTTCCCAGCCCGTCCATGAAATTCTTATCCCCAATTAACTACCAAAAAACCAGAAGTGGGGGCTGGGAATGTGGCTTAATGGTAGAGTGCTTGCCTAACATTCATGAAGCCCTGGGTTCAATTCCTCAGTATCACATAAACAGAAAAATCCAGAAGTGACACTGTGGCTTAAGTGGTAGAGTGCTAGCCTTGAACAACAACAAAAAGATACCCATGCCAAATTCAAGCCCTGGGACTGACATAAAACAAACAAACAGAAGTGGAGCTGTGGCTCAAGTGGTAGAGCACCAAACTTAAGCCAAAAAGCTCAGGGACAGCACCTAGTCCTTGAGTTCAGGGATAAGCCTCCCCCCCCAAAAAAAAAAAGAGAATAGTATACTTTCTATAGGTGAATTGTGTTTGTACATAGGTCTCACATCTCAATCTGCTTTAGCCATTTATGATTCCATGTGATTTGCGCTGTTGAGACTAAAAAGCATCTTAAGATTTGGGATGGAGAGTTAAGAACAGCAGGCTGGCCACTGGGAGCCGGGCGTGGCTGTGTGGGTGACAGGAAGCCGCCAGGATGTACGTGTGATGCCAAGAGTCAGAGATGGTAATCATGGCCCGTGACGCATTCCATGCCGGTCTGGTCTGCAGCTCGGCCAAGCAGAGTAGCTCCTCTGGGGCACCCTGGGGCACACAGCAGCCAGCTGCTCCCCAGCCCGGCGGGCCCCCAGCCCCCCACCCACAGCGAGAATCACAGCTGCCTAGGACGGCAGGCGGAACTCTGCACGGCTCTGCCAAGACTGGGAAGGAAGACGTGGAGACAGTGCCAAGTGGCTGCAGGCCGGCCAGGGCTGCCACGTGCCAGGAAAGCCGTGGGGCGGGATCCAGAATCCACAGAGCCCTCGCCAGGGCTCTAACATCTGCTGGGCTGGCGGAGCTGCCAGGCTACTGTTGACATGGGATGCACAGGTGCCCGAGCCGGCTGGGCAGAAGGCGGCCAGCTGACAGACTGGGCACAGATGGGTGAAGGATGAGGCCCCGTACTGCAGGGTCAGCCTTCGCCTGCCCACAATAGCCCCAAACCCAATCATCATCTGATCCATCTCCCATGACACCCTTCTGGGCTGTGGTAGGAATCTGACTCTACATACTGTTCTACCCCAGGACCCTGCCACGGGCTGTGTCCTCTGCCAGGTATATTTTCCTGTACACCTGGCTCCTAATAAGGGGTCAGCCTAAATGTCCTCTCGAGGGAGTCTCCCCAATGTTTCCTGCTAACATGGCCATATACCTTCTTGTTCCCCCGTGGACTTGTATGAGCACTGGGGGACCTGGCTCATATAGTAGGTTCTCAGTAAGCACGGGAGATAGGTGTTGAGGTTTCCTGCCTGGACTGGGGCTCTCCTTCTCAACTTTTTGCTACAGAAACTCCTACAGGACTCCTGTCTCTGGAGCAACTTTGAACCCCAAACTAAGTGTCCCCCACGCAAGCCAGACAATGACTCTCCCAGGAAGCTTATTTGGGGTCAGAGCTCCTGACCTTCATCCCCTGTGTCTCTGTACACAGGGTCTTGGATGGACCTTGGACCCCAAAGACTGGCTAGCTCTAGTCCTGCTCTTGATTGAGCTATGACCCTGCAAGGTGAAGCCGTCTGTCTGGCTCAGACCCCTCAGCCAGGGCCAGAGCAGATGGCAAATGCCAGAAACTGATAAACATGATTCGAATAATAAACATAATTCATAATAAATATAATTCATCCACCGGTGCTCATTTGTATCTTTTTGGTTATTGTTGTTGATACAAGTTTGAACTCAAGGCCTCATGCTTGCTCAGCTGGTGCTCCACCACTTGAGACACGCCTCCAGCTTGTTTGTTTTTTCTGCCTGTCTTGGGGCTTGAACTCAGGGTCTGGGCTCTGTCCCTGAGCCTCTTGGTGCTCAAGGCTAGCGCTCTACCACTTGAGCCACAGTCCACTTCTGGCTTTTTCTGAGTAGTTTACTGGAGATCGTCTCATGGACTTTCCTGCTTGGGCTGGCTTTGAACCTTGATCCTCAGATCTCAGCCTCCTGAGTAGCTAGCATTACAGATGTGAGGCGTGAACCACCAGCACCCAGCCTTGCTGGCCTTTTTGCTGGTTAATTGTAGCCCTCACTGGCTTGGAACTTCAGTCCTCCAAATCTCAGCCTCCTGAGTGTTTAGAATGGCACAAGCTACCAGCGCCTGGCTCATTTCTATCATCTGAAATCTAGAGATTCCTCCCCAGATGCTGAAGCCCGCTTCTTCTCATCTGCCAGATTCAGACCCAAATAGCACAGACCACTGAACACCCCAGCCCTGGGAGGTGCGTGCACAAGACTACCTGAATACCCAGAGACATTTCATGCAAGCAGAGCCGTTGGGGATGGTCACTGCTACACCCAGGAGCACAGTCCTCTGTGGGTAAGTCAGCTGGCCTTCTGCTCACCTTCACCTCCAAAAGCCAGAGCTAGAGCAGAAAGCAAGGACATCACACAGCCCAGGTGGTGCCACCATAGCTTCCAAGGGTGGCCGTGGACAGCAGGCTAGAGATAGCCTCCAACCAACCTACCTTCCTGTACCAACATGATGTCCCTGCCCTGCCCCTTCAACACTGCCCTAGGGTAACACCTAACCAAGCCACAAACCCTAAGCCAAAACCTCTCTTGTCCTACATACACCTAACACGCAACCCTTAACAAGTCTAACCCTAACCAACCTCTCACCCATAACCTTAACCAACAACTATCCAAAACCTAACCATACACCCTAGCCCACAGTTAAATCTAACCCTAACCTGCTTCCTAGATGTAGCCCGAACCCTAATATAACCCTTTCACCTAGTGCCCACCCAAACTAGCCCTAAAACTAACCCAACCTAAATCAGATCTCATACTCTCCCTCAGCTCCACCCCGCCTCTGGTCCTGTGGCTTGAATTCTGGGCCTGGGTACTGTTCCTGAGCTCCTTTTTGCTCAAAGTAATGCTCTACCACTTGAGCCACAACTCTACTTCCAGCTTTTTCTGTGACTAATTGGAGGTAAGAGTCTCATGGACTTTCCTACCCCGGCTGGCTTCAAATTGCAATCCTCAGATCTCAGCCTCCAGAGTAGCTAGGATTACAGGCATGAGGCAGAGCCTAGCTCTTCCTTAGGTTTTGTTTTGGTTGGTTGTGGTGTGGGGCTTGAACACAGGGCATGGGCACAGTCCTAGAGCTCTTTTGCTCAAGTTTTGTGCTCTACCACTTTGAGCCACAGCTCCACTTCTGGTTTTGGAGTGGTTAATTAGATAAGAGTCTCACAGGGACTTTTGTGCCCAGGTTGCCTTTGAACAGCGATTCTCAGATCTCAGTCTCCTAAGTAGCTAGGACGACAGGCTACCAGTGAGCTACCAGTGCCTGGCTCCCTTAGCTTTTTTTGCTCAAGGTTGGCGCTCTACAACTTGAGCCACAGCTCCACTTCCAGCTTTTCAATGGTTAACTAGACATGAGAGTCTTATAGGTTTTCCTGCTTAGGCTGGCTTCAAACCATGATCCTCAGGACCCCAGTCTCCTTGAGTAGCGAGGATTATAGGGGTGAGCCACCAACTTCCATCCCTAACCCTAATGTTAAGCCTAGCAGCCGCCTTGATCCAACATTAACTCAAACCCTAATCCTTCCACCAGCCCAAAACCTAACCCCAACCCTACCTCTCCCTAATGCTAAACCCAAACCCTAACCCCACACAGGATACATACAACTTGCACCCCTTTTTTATATGAGTTTTTGGGCACCTGTAACGAAGTCTCTACAGACCATAGGGGCTGATATTCTTTTCTATCAAGCTCCTAGAGGCACAGAAAATGGCACACCACCCCCTTTTTGCCACCCAAATCAGACCCAATGTGGCAGCTGGTACCCAGGCTCAGGCTGCCCTGGGAAGGCATCTCTGCTGAGTCTCACAGCCCAAACCACCCCAGGCCGCGTCCTAGGCTGGGTTAAGTGGTGGGAACCACTGGCAGCCACCATGGAGGTCGGGGGGCAGAGCCCAGCTGGCCTCGGCCTGGAATGCAGGCCCAGCCAGTCACCCGACTACCATCTGGTTCCCATCTGCCCGGCCAGCGGCCAGTGCTCGGCCTGACTTCAAAGGCTCCCTGCCGGCCACTTCCTCTGGCCTGGCCGCCTGCGGGGAAGGGCTAGGGCGGGCCTCTGCTTCCTCAATGCCCCTCCTGGGCCCAGGAAACAATCAGGGGGGTCCTTGACACCCCCTTTACTATAGGCCAGTGCCAGCGTGGAATCACCCATCACCTCCTCTAAGCCTTATGTGCCTGGCTTTTCCTCTACGGTCGTTTGAACAGTCACCAAGCGCCCCTGAAAAGCCACAGGGGGCACCAGAGAACTTGCCGTATGGCCACGCCCTATGCACACACATATGCACAGATGCACAGATGCCTGGATATGTGTGCGTGTACACACACACACACACACACAGCTCTCAAGCTAACTGGACTCCATGTGGCTTCCTGGAGTCCACCATCAAAGTTCCAGACATGGATCCAGCCTGCTCAGACTTGCCTAGCTCTGTTGTCACCTCCTCGGCTTGCTTTGGGGTGATCACAGAGCATTCCAGGCGTTTCTCCCCCCGCCCCCACTTCCACACATACGTCTGGTGCCCTGTGTGTCCCGCCCCAGCCTTCACTGCCAGGCTCATCTCAAACACATACAATGGGTGCCAGTCTGCCTGACCTGCGACACCCGATACATTTCCACTTTGGCCACCAGATGACACGGAACGCTGCTTACCTGCTTGAACTGTTCCTCGTACGTCCAGTCCCCGTGGTCCGGCGGCTGCAGTTGGGGTACAACATGGGCAGCGCCTCCAGGAAGGGCAGTGCCAGGCCCTGGCCGCTCCGGGCCACCCAGCACCCTCGTTACACCATCTCCACGGAAGGTCTGGGCCAGCTGGGCCTTGCGGGGAAACAGGCCGGCAGAGCCCAGGCCAGCAGGGCCTGGGGGGCCCAGTCCTTCCTCGTCCTCATCCTCCTCATCCTCGTAGTCATCCTCTTCATCCTCATCCTCCTCACCCAGGTCTTCCTCAAGTTCTTCCTCCTCCCACTTTGGCTTTCTAGGGTAAATGCAGGGCACCAATCAGTCAGAAGACAGGAAGATTTATCAACCCAGGGAAGGTCTGGTGGTGCCCCAGCCTCAGTTCCTCCTCCTCTCTGAAAGTAAGGAGAGCTGGCCACCTGCTTAAACTCTAGGAACCTTGAGCATCTCCCGCTCCCACTTGGGGCACTAGATCTTGGCATTCATTCCTGGCAGGCCTCATCCTAATGCAGACTTTACCTGCCTGATCCTCAACCACTGTGGCCACACATGGCTAGGCCAGTGTGAAATTGGATCAAAGGAGCCAGGTGCCATGGGTGGCTCAGACCTGTAATCCCAGTTGTTCACGAAGCTGAGATCTGAGGATCGCAGTTCCAGGCCAGCCCAGGCAGCAAGGTCCATGAGACTCCTATCTCCAAAGAACCACCGAAAAGCCAGAAGTGGAGCTCAAGTAGTAAGAGTGCCAGCCTTGAGCAGACAAGCTCAGGGACAGTGTCCAGGCTCTGAGTTCAAGACCCAGGACACACACACACACACACACAAGCAGGCAGCACACACTCCGTATGCACTGGCTCATCAACGTCGCTCTCCCTTTCAAGCCTCAGTCCCTAGATCAGGGACACCAGGCCCCAGACCCCAACTCACAATTCTTCATCATCTGATCCCACATCCTCGAAGCGACTGTCTCCTTCTGTGTGTCCTGGCCCCTCCCTGCCTCGGCCAGGCAGGTCTGGGGAACCTGGAGCCCCCTCTTGGGTCATGTCCTCATCCTCTGAGCCTGGGGGGCCGTCCTCCAAGCCACCGGGGCTGGACGGATGCCCCAGGCCTGCAGCAGCTGCCCGCATCGCAGCCAGAGCAGCCATCTGTGTCCGCTGCATTCGGGCATTCTCGGGCTCTCTGTCCTCATCTGGGGTGGCCCGGGCTCGGGCCGGGGGTCCAGTGGAGGGAGATTGGGCTGGTGGAGGCTGCCGGGCCTCCAGCTCTTGGCGAGCTCTTTGCTGTCGCTGTAAGAGCGTTTCCATCACAGCTTGAAGCTTCATGGCCCTGCGGGCCGGGCCGCCGCCACCACCACCCCGGGCACCAGGGGCAGGCGGCAGGGGTGGCCCCTGTGGGGAGGGGGCCCGGCCACACTGCAGCGTGGGGGCCTCGGGAGAGCCGGGGCAGTGCAGGGTGGCGGGGAGTGGGGGCGGGGGCCGCCAAGCTCAGACTGAAGGCTGGTGGAGCATGCCAGTGGCAGGTGGGTGGGCAGATGCCTCCTCAGACAGGGCACCCAGGGGCAGAGTCTGGTATCTGGTTCATTCACACGTTTGCAGAAACCTTGAGGGGAAGGGAGAAAAAAGAGGGGAGTCAGACCATGCCGGAGCCCTTCCAATTCACCCATCTCAAGAAATCACACTTCAGTCTAGTGCTGGTGGCTTATGCCTGGAATCCTAGCTACTTAGGAGGCTGAGATCTGAAGATTTCAGTTCAAAGCCAGCCGAGGCAGGACAATCCACAAGACACTCATCTCCAATTAACCACTAGCCTTGAGCAAAAAAAAATTCATGCATAGTGCCCAGGCCCTGAGTTCAAGTCCCACCACTGACAAAAAATAAAAGAATAAACAAGTCAGACCTCAGGCAAGTGCTGGTAGCTCACACCGATAATCCTAGTTACTTAGGAGACTTGAGATCTAAGGAACACAGTTTGAAGCCAGCCCAGGCAGGAAAGTCCATGAGCTCTTTCCATTAACCACCAAAAAGGCAGAAGTGGCACTGTGGCTCAAGTGGTAGAACCCTAGCCTTGAGTGAAAAAGCTCAGAGACAGCACCCAGGCCCTGAGTTCTAGCAGCAGTACAGGCACGCACACACACTCACACAATACGCGTGAGCACACACACACACACACACACACAAGCACACACACACCAGACCTCGAAGGCCTCTAGAAGAATCCTGTGGTCCAGGTGTAAACCTGGTGGCCCCGGTGGAGGGCCCCCACCCCCAATCCTCCATCCACTCTCCCTCCAGCAGGTCCAAGGACCAGCATTACCCACCCCGGATTCCCAGCGGCCCCCTTCCAACCCAGCCACGAGGAAGCACGTTGCCACCATCCGAGCCGCCTGGGACACCCTGGGTTATTGCCTCACAGGCAGAGTCCGAGGGGAGCTGGCGTTCCTGCACTCTGATTGGCTACCGCTGGCTGCAGGCCCCAAGCATCTATATGGGTTCTGAGTTCTGGTTCTGAGTTCTAGGTGCTGCTCACACCTAGAAGAGTCTGGCATCGGAGAGGCCCCAGGTACCCCTTTCTCAAGAGGTCCAGAATCTGTACTTGCTGTATACAAGTGTGGGCAAACCTCCTCCTCCCTCCCCACTGGAACACCAAGCCTTAGCCTCTCAGGCCTCAGTTTCCCCACCAGTGAATGGCTCGGTAACAGTCCCTGCCTCATTGCACCCCCGTGGGGACAAAGGGGGCTCACAATGGCCCAGGCAAGAGAGCAAGGCAGGCACCCCCACCCCCAGGTGTCAGGGAAGAGAAGACACTAGGAGGACTCCCCGTGGTACAGATGAGGGAAAACGAGGTTGGAGGAGATCCCTGCCGTGAGAGCTACCCACACTGCCCCTTTTTGCAGAAAACAAGGATCCCCAGTATGCAGTTCTTGCAGGGGGGGGGGATTCCCAAGGGAGTAAATAGCCCAGAATGCAACATTCTGTCTCTGCCTGGAGTCTCCCTCAGCTCACCACAAACACTAGCTGCCCGGAATCCATGAGGGATACCCCAGAACCAGAATCGAGGTCCCCCACCTCCACCCTGGGCCCCTTCATCCCACCCATCCAGGCCAATAAACCAGCTGGGGCAGAAATCCAGCAGGACTGGTGTCATCCCAGATGCTCCCCCGGGGGACAGTGAGGGAGGAAGCAAAGCTCCATCTTTCAAAACAGAGGAGAGGGTGCAGGAGGCCACCCCAACCCTAACCTGCCGAAGGAACCCCAGGGTTCACACAAAGCTCCCAGGATTGTTGCCTTGAAGACAGGAGGGAGAAGGAGGGGCAGCTTCCAGCGGGAGGCTTTGGGCTGCCTGCCTGCTGCACTCTGGACCCTCGGGTGACCTGCCCTCCACCCAGGGGACTCTGGCAGAATAGATTCCCCCAGTTTTTTGGGGGGAAGGGGGATCCTACTGAAGCCACAGGGGCCACGACTCCCTCCCCAGACATCCTGGACCCCAGATCCGCTTGGCCTTCCAGCAGAAGGGACAGGGTGTTGTTGGGGGCCTAAGGTAGATGGTCCTAGGGGAAAGGGGACAGGCCCTAGCCCCACAGTTCCTCATGTCCCCGTTGGTACAGTGAGGGCAGGGTGGGGCGGGGCACAAAGACCTCAGGGGCCAGAACACTACAGAATGACCCATCAGACCCTTGTCCTGGCCAGGCAAGCAGGAGCAGCACCCAGACCCACCCCTGCCCCCAGGGCAGCTGGTCAACCCCCCCCCCACACACACACACACACTGACCCAAGAAGTGCTGAAGGGACATTTCTGGCCGGGTCTGGTCTGGTCAGCCACCCCTCCCCCACCTTTGACAACTTCAAGATGAGCCCCCCCCCACGGAAACGGGCCAGGCCACGCCCCCTCTGGGGGGGAGGAGAGAAGGAAGAGGCCAGAGGAAGCCACGCCTCCCCACCAGCCCCCCCCTCCTCTCGTGGGCCTGCAGGGTTTAATGACCCTTCCGGGTCGCTGGGTGGGGGAGGGGAGCAGGGCAGGCCTCCACAGAGGGGCCGCCGGGGAGGAGAGGGCAGGGAGGAACCCCAGACCCCCATCAGCACCATGAACCCTAAACTGGCGACGCCTGCCCTTTGGAGACCCCCTCCCCCCCAAGAGCCCTTTGTCCTGGGGGGGCCACCACCCCACATTTTATGACAGCTCCACCAGGAGGGCAGTCCCAGGCGGGAAGTAGGTGCTGGGTGGTCCCGAGGACCTGGCAGGGGTGGGGAGGGGGGAGACCTAGGGCCACACCCTCTGCACTCTGCCCCCCCAAGCCGGGGGGGGGAGGAGAGAGAGAGAGAGAGAGAGAGAGAGGTCACCCGCTTGGCCGGGCCTTGCAAAACATGGTTATTTAAAGAGTTGTGCAAGGCTGGGGCCGCGGGTGGTGAAAGGGGCCCCTCACTCCGCCGCGGGAAGAGGAGGGGGAAGGGCAGAAAGCTGGGGAGGGGGTTGAGAAAGTGGGGAGCCCCCCCCCTCCCAGAGGAAGTGAGAATAGCAAATCCGAAAAGGCAGCGGCAAAAGACGACAAAACCCCCAGGTCAGGATTTCAAAGGCTTCTTGGAAAGCGGTAGATTTGCATGGGGTGTGCGTGTGTGGTGGGGTGCAGGGAGTGGGGTGTGTGTGGAGAGCCCGGGTGTCCAAAAACGGAAGGTATTAGACAAGCCCGCCGCCCAGCCTGCGCGAACGTTGGCGTTGACACACGCGCGCGCCCCGCGCTTCCTGCGCCCCGGATTTTGTACCTTAGAAGGGGGGTGTGGGGGCATCCTGCTGGGACTGAGGAAGGGGAACTTATTCCTGGGGACCCCCTCCCCAGCACCTCCACTTCCCCGGGCCGGGGAAGCCTGGGGCCGGCCGGCGCACCCCGAGCTGCAGGACGCGGTCCCAAGTGCCCGCGAGCCGCTCGGGGAGGGTCCCCGGGAACTGCCCACCTCGGGCGGGGGGCAGGAGAAGAAACTCAACGGGGGTGTCGGCAGGGAAAAGAAATAGAGCTTCCCCCCCCCCCCGTCCCCAACTTCCATCCCGCGGGAGCGCAGCCCCCCGCGGGCGCGCACGCAGCGCCCATTTCCTTCCGCCGGGTCCGCGGAGGGCCGCGCCGCCAGCCGGGGGGCTCCGAGACCCGGCCGCGCACCACGGGCACCCCGAAACCCCGGCTGTGGTGGGGGGGCGCTCGTCCCGCAGAGCCCGGGGGACCCGTATCGGTGTCGCTCGCCTAACTTTGGAGGGACCCCCCCTCCGTCCCTCCCTCCCACGCCACCTCCCCAGGGCGCAGGGCGCGCAGCCCCGGGGGTTCCACGGCCTTACCGTGCGGAGCGGCTCCGGAGGGGGGGACCGGAGCCCTCGACCCCCGCCCGGCCTCCGCCG